GAATAATCATATTGCATTTTAAGAAAAATCTCACCATTCCCATCTTATACATTTCCCACCTCTCAGTTTTGCACTACATTTTCTGACTAGTTTTTTCCTTTTAAATATATTAAGTGAATATATTTTGCCTTTTTTAATATCCTAGATATATAAATGGATGCTTGTACATGCATCATTACCTACAATGCTCAAGTATGCAAGTTTCCATGAAACTGCTTTGTATTAATAGCAGTAGACAAATACAGGACTAGAAAATCATGGAATTATCTATATGGGTAAGTGTATTTATGGACTTGAGTCACTTATTCAGAATTCATGAGAGATGCAGAAAGGAAAGAAATCTTATTCCAGAGAGACTAGAAAAAAATGGAGACTATAAACCCAAACCAAAATTACCACAGAACTGCAAGAAAAAGTAAAATTTACTCCTCTGCCACTAAAAGACCATAAAAAATACCTAGATTAAGGAATACTAGGAATAAAGAAAGGCACCACACATCACCAAAGAGCTAGCTGAAAACTTAATGAAAATTGAGGAAGAAGCAGGACTTACAGCAGTGCACAGGAGCAATCTTCAGGTCACACCAGGGGAAAAAATACCTGATTTTCTTTTTCAGAAGTGCCAGAGTGCCAGATCTGCTATCATGCTTCAGAGAACAGCTCAGATGCAGCCACACCTGACCATCAGTCGGAAAAGGCTGCTTAATCACAGTTGTCAGAGAAAAGACAGACACAGTGGGAATGAGGAGAGGCTGCTAGTAAAGCAGGTCAGGAGATGGGATAAGAGAGTCATATCTATTTAAAGATCTGATTCTACAATAACTATTATTAATAATTTCCCTCTATAAGATGAAACATAAATCTTTACAGTAGCAACTGCAGATCTAACAGGCAAAGAATATAAGGGGGTCAATGCTTTTTGTAGGGAAAGGCAAGGTCTTTTATTAGAACAGCTGGGGGGAAAAAAGGAAATAAAGTAGACAGAAAACATTTTGGATTTAGAGTCCTTCTAGTTTTACCCATCAAACACTGAGAAAGACCATTCATCACCCTGTAATGGCCTGCATGTAGAATGCAGACTCTAGACTCTCTATGTGACTTGTTGTGGTGTTGGGAAAATACCTAAGAAAGAGAAATATTGAGGACCAAACTAGTATTCTTCCCACCTGTTCCCCCATTTTAGCTAATCTCAGTGGGAGCTGAAAGCATTTTGCTTGATGTGAAGCAAAAAAAATAGATAGGTATTTTACATGACAGCCACAATTAACAGAAAGAAATTAATGAGTTCCCTTTTAGTGAAAGAAGTTCAGCATGGAAATAAAAATGAAATGACATAAAATGGATTCTAGGAGAATAAAGAGAGAAAGAAGCTAAGCACACAGCACTAGAGTTTCGAGAAGTAAGAGTCACTGCTGTGCATTGGAAAGAAGGGACAAAGACGAGCTGAGATTCACAGTGCCAGTCTATCCAGCCTCTGCTGTGCAGGACTGGCGTCACAGTTGGAAGCCAAGCTGAAAAACTGCTCTCGCTTTCTTAAGATAGCATTTCCATTTTGTGCCTCAATGGAAGCACTTTTCTCAACTCCTACTCTCTCTGTGCTAATATGTACCTGTTGGAACACTAAGTCCTGTTATTTATCATTAATCATACATAACCCATTGGCTTCACGGGTCAGCCCATTACGCTATTTGTACCATCAAATGCGGGACTTTTATTTATACTTCATGGCCTACTTGGCTTTGTACCATGTGCCACAATAGTAAAAGATCCATAGCTTTCTCTCCTTTCACCCTGGGGGCCCTGAGTGACATCTGCCACCACGAGAGCCTGGAAATCTACTGCAGCAATGAGAACTCCCTCACGCTAGAATGGGAACAACAGGTCCCTTTCACCTTGCTGCAAAAATCGCAGCGCTATAAACAACACTGTACGTTTCTCAGCGCTCAATTAGAAGAAAGTGTCGGGGTTGGGAGGACGCCCACCGAGAGTCAGGCCGTGCACTGGGCCCCCGAAGGGGCTCTCTGAGGACGCGGTCCCACCCAGCACTGCAGCATTTCTAGCAGAGAGGAGGCGCACAGGACCCCGGGATGGGGTCAGGGCCGCGCTCGCCGCTTCCCGCACGCCGGGGACACCGGGAGCCACGGGCCCGCCGGGCTCCATCCCGCCCGCCCGCCGGCCCCGTCTCGCCCGGCAGCGGCAGCCGCCGCCCCGCCCGCAGCCCCGGCGGCACCGCGCTCAGCACCACGGACAGCGGCGGGGCCGCCGCCGCCCCCCGCCCCCGTACCTTTCCGGATGAGCTCCTCGCTGTCCGGCTCGTAGCCCGCGCGGTGGCAGCGCCTCCAGAGCCCCGAGACGGTGGAGTTGAAGCGGCGGCCGCAGTGCGAGTCCAGCGCGGCGGAGGCGGCGGCGGCGGCCGGGGCGGGGGCCGGGGGGCGCCCGGGCAGCAGCGCCCGCGGGGGTCGGGCGCGGAGCGGCAGGTGCGAGCTGGGCGCCGACATGGAGCCGGGCGGGTCGCTGCGCTTGTGGCCGAAGCCGCGGCAGCGCTCGCGGTGCCGCCGCGCGTCTGTCTCGTACCAAGAGTCGGTGCCGATGGCCACGGCCAGGAGGGCGAGGGCGGCGGCGGCCAGGAGCAGCCCGGTGCCGCTCAGCGCCTGAGCCGCGGCCGCCATCTTAGCGCGCCGGGGGCGGCAGGGGCGGGCGCTTCCCTGCAGCCCGGCTGGGGCCGCCGCCCGCGGCACCGCCCCCGGAAGGGACGCGGCCCGCGGCCCCCGCGCCGCGCCCGCTCTGGTGCTCCGGCGTGCCACGGGCGCGGCCTCACGGGGTCCCGGAGCCGCCCCCGCCGCGGGGTCCGGCTCCTGCTCCGCGCACCGAGGAGCCCTCGGCGGAGCCCGTGTACGAGGCGGTGCGAGGTGGCCGCGGGCAGCTGCCCGGGATGGGTGACCGGAGGAAGGGGTGAACGGGCTCTGGCGAGCCTTAGCGCGGCCTCCTCTGGCCCGGCAGTCGCCCGTCCCGCTGGCTTGCCCAGGGCAGAATGGCTCTGCTCAGGCCACGGGAGCCAGCAGTTTTTCAAATGTACACGAAATGCAAACACCAGCTGCAACATCATTTGTTGGCTTTTGGCTTTTGTCTTCTCCTCTACCCTTCATTATAAGTTAATGGAAAATAAGGCCTGAAAAATGTCTGCCTATTTTATGCAATGAGAAGCAGATTAAATCCAACCCATTAGTTAAATGCAGCATTTATAGGGGCACAAAATCCCTTCTGATCCTGCTTGTTGTATAGGACTTGTTCCTCCAGCTGCAGCACTATCAGTCAGTCCCCAAAGCCAGCTGTTAGGGCATCATCTCATCAATTCTGGCCCCCATATAAAATGATCTAGTGATAATGCTATGCCTAAACTACTAATTTAATGTCCAATTTTCAAATCCTTAGCTTTGGGGGTTTCTTTTGTTAGAAGTAGTTTTAATTGGTTCCCAGGAGCAAATGCTCAACTGTAGGAGATTCTGAACCTTTCCCCCCGCCACCACCTCCCCCTTGTCACTTCTTGGTCTCTCACCCACACTGAGCACAGCCTAAACACCCTCCCCAGCACCACTGCCCAGAACAGAATACTGCTTATCTCCCCTGAGCACTCTGCCTGGTGAAACACGCAGCAGCCACAGCTAAAGCTTGTTCTAACCACATTTCTGCATGATCCTCTTCCGCAGTTTGCTCTGGACAGATGGGATTACCATCCATGCAGCTGCACATTGGTGCCTTCAAGGCACACAAATTGAAAGGGCTGCTGTCAAAAGAATTTTCTTACACATACCAGCTAAATTAAGTCTTCCACAACAAGAATGAAAAATAATTTTCAAATACAATCACTGCTCTAGCTAACATGGAAAAATCCTTCAATTGTAATAGCTCTTTTCCAGGAAGATCCAAATACTCGCACTTCCTAAGTCTGCAATCCTATTATGTCACCCTACTCTCCATGTGAGCTTTTCAGGCTACAGTTTCAAAAGACAGGGGCTTCAGCAACACCATCATCTTAGAAAGTTCTCGTGAATTAAACTGCAATTGTTCTCCTTTGCTACTACAATTGTGTCAGAGCCACTCTTCCCAGAGCCTGTGAAACAGATAGCTGATTAATTCATGATAATTTTGACTACTTTTGAGAAGGAAAAGGGCATGATGGAGAAAGGTTCATAGCACAGTCCTAAGGGCAGGAGTACCAGCACAGCCCAAAAGTGCAGTGTGGTAAATCCATGGACAGAGATTCCAAAATGTAGATTACTGGCAAAATCCACAGACTGTGAGATCATGCCCTTGATCACTTACCTACTTTCATCTTCTTCCAGCTCTTGGGTTAGGGTTTTCCTTCTTTTTACAGAAGACTTGGGGTAAGAAGAGATATAAATGCATCATTTATAGCAAAAAATCTTCCAAATGAAGGGTAGGATAAGACATTTTCTGAACCCATGTTTTTCAAGGGTAGAGAATTTTCTTCCAGTCCTTTCAGGCAATTGGAACACACAACCTTTCATGATGGCACCTTTGTCATACGGATATGACATAGCAGGTATCCAGTTTAGTATGAACTGAAACCAGACAGACTTTGAGGCTTTTTGATTTTAAAAAATAACCGATTACAGTCAAGTATGATTACAAAACTCTCCGAACAGTAAAGTTACCATGCAAGCTCTCCCCTGAAAGAGGAGAAATTTATTTGAGTATCCAGAGCAATAGTCAAGAATTATAATTCTACCACACTGCTCCTGGACAAAAGTTCCATGGCAGCAGAAAGAAGAAACTGGAATAGAACTTTTTTCTTTCAACTGTGAAAGTCTCTGGGGAACGTCTGAAAGCAACCCAGAAGTCCAAACTGCTCTAGACTAACCCAGAGATATGTCTGTGTAATTTAAATTAAATTTAAATTAAATTTTTAAATCAAAGAAAAGTAGGAACTTCAAAAAAAGCCTAAACCAACCAAATAAAATAACCCAATAACACAACCCGACATGGAAAACCATTTATTTCATCTCTATTGTCTCCATGCAGAGCAGACCAATACAGATGAAGGGGGAAAATGCATAAGAGCAGCTGAAAAAATAGAGCTAGAAAATACAATTCTCTCTGCATTTCCAAAAGTGACAAAAGTGGTGGAGTGATGCTCCATCTCCTCCCAAGGCTCTCAATCCTCAGCCCTAGGGCTGACGCAGTAGAAATCTATTGAACCCCTCCCTCCCACCAGCCCCATGCTGCCTCCTACCAGGGTATCTTCCCAAGAACCACAGACTATCCATGCCTGTGATAGCAGCCAAGAAAAACAGCTCAGAAATTCTTTGTTCAGTGTCATCCACTTCACATTCCTGAACGCTGAGTATAAAATCCTGACGGTGGTTTTCAGTCTTGGCAAGGCTCAGTGCTGATGCAACAACGCCAACTCATGGGCACTCACCTGGCAATGCCTCAACTTAAATGCCAGCCTTATTTTGGGAAAGACATCTTGAGAAACAGCAGGCATAACTTTCTGTGCAAGCTTGCTTCCTCCAGAGCTCTGTTATAGGGCCTGCTTAGCTGCAGTCCCTGGGCAGAAGGAACCCCCAAAGCTAGAACTAGAGGGTTGGCATACTCCCCCAGTCCCTGCAGGCTAACTGGATTAATCATCCTTCCAGGAAAGCAGGAAATGGATGCTACCTTCAGACATTAAGACAATTGAATGATGGAGAGAGTAGTTGGCACAGAAAGGCAACTTTGTAAAGAGGAATAAACAATTGCACTAAGCCTCCCTCCTCATTGCAGTGGAACTAGTTACTAATGGAAGTCCAGGGAAAAAAAGCTGAAAAAAATTCAGACAGCAGTTCCTGGGTTCCTGCAGACAGATCTGCAAGCATGAGCTCTCCAGCACTCAGTGAAAAGTAGGGCAGGAGCTGTCATAAGAAAGAACTGTGTCAACAGTTCAGGAATCTCTTAGGGAAGTAATGCGTCTGCTGTGGGCAGTCTACCTGCCTTGCTGCTCTGACCCAAATTGCCCTCTCAAGGCATGAGTCCTCTTGGTAAGGCCCTGGGCAGACTGGAGAGCTGTACTGCTTCACAAAAGCTGTTATAAGACTGAGCCAAGTTGGTGTAAATCACACTGTGGCACCTGTTTTGTGTTCAGTGACTCTCTTAGTTTAATTAGACCTGTTTTTAAACAAATTTAATCAAAGCAAAGTTAAGTTATTCAGAAGGGATGATCTAGTAATTGTGCACATCTCCATGGCAATAAAACATCCCTGTGGAATTATGGCCTGGTCAGCCCTGTGAGCTGGGGTAGAGGAAAGCACTAGAAATTTTATTTCTTTTTATTGGTCTCAAATTGCCAAAGGTTTTATCCCAGGCATCACATCAGAAAACTCCTCTTAAAGCATACATATTGTCACCCTTTCATATCCCTTTCTCACCTTGCTTAAAAATATTTTCCCCAGCAGTTTCAACCTTCCCATCCAAAAGCTGTAAGTATTATTTCTTATTCAGTCGTCCTCAACAGATGAACTCCACTGTGAGGTAACAACCCCAGAAATAGGCTGCCATCTACAGCATGCTCTTAAATCATCTACACTGAACAGAGGAAAAGCTAACCAGGAGTTATCAGCTGCTGACCAGGCTGTAGTGTTCAAGCACCTCTGCCATGACAGTCTAGAGGTGCTGTAGCACGCTGGGCAGGTCTAGCATGCTACACCTCAAGAAAGCTCTGAAACATTGTGTGGGGCAGATGGTGCGTGAATCAGGTCTCACGAACAGGCTCAGAGGCACGTTCAGCTAATGGTTATGAGGAGAGGGAGCTCAGTCACAACAGCTACATGGCTTTCCCTCCAGACATGAGCGAGCTGGTAGTTGGCAATTGAAGAAACATTTACTGATCATTTATCAGATAAACAGTTGGGCTGTGCTGGCTACTGGAGTGGTTAGGGCTGAGGCAAGTAATCTCCAAGCTGAGTCATTTAATTGTAGTGACCTAGCCTAAAATGCCTCAAGCTTTTGGCTCAATTTCAATGTAAATGAAATAGACCAAAAGAGCTGGACTGCTGAGGCCAATACTACCTTTAGGAACCAGTGGTGTCAATGAACAGCTGGAGATCAAGTTGGAAAGGGTCTCTTCCCCTCTATCTCATAGCACCATCAACTTCTCATGGGTAGGGGGTTCTGGTTAAAGCTTTGTCATGCCTGTTCTGCCTCCAGCCCTTAAATAGTAGGAAAAATCCTTTATCTTCATCAGCTACAGGAATCACCTCTGTTTTCACGCAAGAGCTTGAGAGGTGCAGTTCCATCAGAATGAACCGAATGAAACATTCACTCACAGTGGGGCAGCTGTTCAGTTTGTTTCTGCCCAGTGTATCTTTTGCTCCATAAAAACCAACCAAGCAAAAAAAGAACAGAAGCCCTCATGTGTGGATTTTAGCAGAACAGGGATAAGAGAGCCAGGGAATGAAGTCTTGCACAACCAGACCTCTCTGTCACCTGCTTCTCATACTAGCAGCCAGACCTGCGCACACACGTGGGAAGTAACATTAGTGTTCCTTATTGCTTTGTAAAGCTCAGAGTCACTGTGGTGGCTCTGGGAGGCATCATGAGGTCTGCGCAGAGGTCACTCAGTTGTGAGCGCGAGTAGCACCATGACTGTAATGCCCGTACACAGGAGCAGAATTTGCTGCAGGGAATTCCTGGGAAAGAAACAGCAAAATTAGGAGGATCCATAAACCAATCCCCATAAGGCAGATGCACAGAGCTCCCCAATGATTTGTTCTTTTCCCTTCCAAATTTACCACGTGGAGAACACAATAGCTATATGAAGTTACTAACACAGATGAGAAGACCTTCCCAGCACCCAAAGCAAAGGAGTTGTCTATAAACTGGCAAGGACTTATTTCACTCAGCTGCAAGGCCCAACTCCAGACTTCCAAATCAATTCAAGCTGATTCAGTCATGCAGCTATTCAGATACATATTCATGCCCTTTCACTCACGAGGAAACCAGCCTTTATGCAGCATGTGCACAGACACTTTAGGGACCACATCCAGCTAACAACTACAGTTACAGAAAAAAAAAAAAAACAAAACCAAAAAACCAAAAAACAACCAAATTTGGCTATTATTTTAGCACTGTCTCAGGTTGATGTTGGATTGAAGTGACTGTGTGCCTCCCACTTCTGCATATTCTACCAACAACCTCTGCCAACACAAGAGGTTACCAACCCAAATTAACATTTCTCCACAAAAAGTTCCTACCTCCTCAGAAAGAACTGTGGAGTTGGTTTTTGAGCACTGCTTCAGTCAAAATTAACTAGGTGAACCACGGCATCTTATTTAAACTACTAAAGTTACTTGTCTTATTACAACTAAAATAGGAGGGAACATTCAGGAGCAGCTCTGCCAACAGATGTGAGAGGTCTTTGCTGTGGAACAGCTGGATTTGGACCTGCTACAGCCATAATTAGACTGCAAGAAATGAAAATAATACACTAGAGAAACCCAGATACATTGGAATATATATACCAGTGCAGAAGAGACATGTCTGAGGTGGAATACAATGACAGGCTATGAAATGTTGAGTGATAAAGAGAAGAAAACTATTATTTTTCTACGCACACAGCAACACAGTGATACCTAATAAAAAAATCAATATGCAAGAGTGTAAAAACCAAATAATAAGCATCACTTAATACAGTAGAGTCAAACTCTGCAAACTGCTACTAAAAGGAGGTTGCAGAGGTGAGAATTAATGGATAGGGTCAGAAAGGGATGAGAGAAGCATGGAAGGATAGATTCACATGTGGTTATCAGACATACACACCTCTGTGGGGCCCTGGTTCAGACAGTCCCTATACCAGTATGTACTGGAAGCTGAAAACACAAACTGGGAAGTGGTGTCCTTACTGGACATGTTTCCCAGGAACTTGCTCTAGTTGGCCCTGCTGCATACTGTGCCAGCACAATCTCTGGGACTCACCCAGGTGAAAGCTCTCATTTACAGAGGGTCTTTGCAGTCACACAAATGCAATAGATAGCAAGCAGTCTATTTTGATTGCAGCCTTGCCCATAAGATTTGGAAAGCTGGCATTCACACACTTCCAGAAGAGACACAGGGAAGGGTTATACCCCTGCCCCCTGGCAGCACAAATTGCTGCAGAGGAACAGGAGGGAGCACTTACCAAGGATTCTTTTCCTCCAGAAGATCAGGCACAACATTTACCAAGGCAATGTACAGAAATCCTCCAGAAGTGAAAGGGAGGATCCAGGCTACTGTTTCTCCTGCACAAATACAGAAAGCTTCAGTTATTACTGAGACAGAGCTGTGGGACACAACACAGAAGGGAAAGAAGATACAGAAGGATGACAAGCAGTACCTCCTCCCCCATTTCTAACAAAGCCTTAGGGAACCTTACCTGCTCCTTTCGGTGACTGAGCACATATTGCAAAGCAGGCCCCTAGAATTCCCCCCAGAGCTGTGGAAAGCTGCATCTTGGCTGCACTCCAGCGGTCAAAGCCAGCACGAAGTAGGATTGCAAAGTCTCCAACCTAAGAAAACCAAGAGCTGACAGTTAGTGAACTTGAATACTAATTTCTCACTTACAAAGGTCATTCACAACAAGGCCAGTGCTTCAAGACTGTTCCTGGTTTTCAATGTTGTCAGTCTCCCCAAAGGGAGCAGCCTTCAAGAAGACAAGAAAATGTTAACCAGACCCAGACTTCCTCTTAGTAGATGAAGAAGCACATTGTAATCTCCCTCACAATGGCAGGATACAAAGCCCTCTCACCTCGTGTGGGATTTCATGCAGGAGAATGGCCACTGTGGTTAGGAACCCAACCTGCAGCAGAGAGAAAGTGATTAGGAAACAATCCCACTCTTCTTGGCTGAATCTCATCAGGTCCCATACATTTACAGGGATCCAGCTGGAGCAGCAGATACCACATCAGTGCAGGGTTGACTGGGAGTTTATCATTTTCACAGTCATGGTGCTCCAGCTCACGGCAATGGGGACCCCACAGCCCATCATCAGTGTTGAAGACCAACGCAAAAATATCATAAATATCTCTGTCTATGTCCCAGTTACTGAGGTGACCATCCTCATCATGTTATTTCTGGACTGCCTTTTGAGTAGATGAGGGTAGATGAGCTAATCCATCCCCAAATGCCAGTACAAATGACTAATGTGTCCCAAATTCAAAGAAGCTCTGCATCAGAGGGTCAGGATAGGGTTGGGTTTTACTGTAGCCTGCATTTTTTCAGAAAATTCCAGCAAACAGGAAGGAATTCCTTGCATTTTTTGGCTGTTCTGCATGTTGTACCATACTTGAGACAAGGCCTCTCCATTTCAGTATACAGCTGGGGACAGAACCATACCTTTTTGCTAACCAGGAAGCTGGCTGCTACTGCCAGGCCATGTGTGAAGTTATCAATGGTGTTGGCCAGCAGATTGAGGTATCCACTAATCTGCAAAGAGAAGGAAGAGTCCCTGATAAAGGAAGAGATGTAAGAAGATAAAAAAGCATACGTCTTAGACATGGGTTATGCAGTCATAATCAGACAGGAAAGAAGATAGCACAATGCTTCTGATGAAAATCTTGAACTATGTCACTGCTTGAGCACAAATAAAATGTAATTTTTGGTTTTAGAGTAAACTAAGTTTTAGGGTAGGCAAGTATTGTCTGAGATTAAAATAATTACTGTATGCAAATAATGAAGAGCTCTAGAAACAGAAAAAAAAAAAAAAGAAGAAAGAAGAAAGCCAAAAAGCAAGAATATATTTAATTTTAAGTTAAATTTTAGGCAACACTGACTGATTTATACAGGTGACTGGCTTCAAGTATGACTTGATCTTGTTTTCAAGTCATGTACTTTAATATCAACTGTTAAATATCTCCCCTTCAAAAGCTGGCAAGAACAATGCAACAGAACAAATGTTGCTGGAATTGCTTTCTCTAACTAAATAAATCTTCAAACATTGTACCAAAAAAGTTCATGCTTGTGGGTTTGCTTTCCCTTAGCAAAAAATCAAAAGAGAAGATAGTGATGACAGTCACAAAAAAAACACCTACTAGAAGGCTGGATAGCATGTATCAGCATTTGCATATAAACACATTTCTTAAAATTATAAGCATAAAGCAGCTGTCTTCCTCACAAGTCCATCTACAAGTTAAAATTCCCCATCATCCTAACTAAGGCCATCTCCTGACAAAATCTGAGTATTTGACCTAAAGTCATTTACAAGGGTACCACCCCAGCTCTTTAGCTCACAGGTTTTTGGGGGTGTTTTCATCATATTTAACAAAAACTGCTGCATGTTGGTCCTGAGATACTGCAGTTCACTATATGGCACTTCAGTTTAAATTATTATCAAACCAGGTGTTAGCCCATATATCAGGCTGTCTCTACACTGCAAGAACTCCAGATACAGGGCAGTATCCAGTGAGTAGAGACACTGTCTGGAAACTGTGAAACATTAACCTCTTACTTCACCACAGCATCAGCTGCCAAAGTTCAGCTGGACAACCACAAGTGCTGATGGGCTTCATCAGTTCTTTTTGGTCTTGTGTTCTTCACTGTTTCTATCAAGTCTGCTTGGGGCATCTTTCTGTCAGTTGTATGCCACAGCTGAGGAGCTGTCTGTCAAATCTCTCTCTCCAAAGCACCACCTTTCTGCAAGGCACTTTTACTGCACTATCTTGGGGCACCTTTGTAGCTTCTAAATTTTTTAAGTGCACTGATGATTAAATACAGATTAAATACAAAAACAAAGAATTAAGCAAAGCCTACCCCACTTTTAAGTAATAAGCTAAGTAACACCTCCACAATGAAGGCAAAAAAGATCCCTGCATGTTTTTATAAGAAGGAAACCCAAATAAATGCATGCAGGCAGACACAAAAATGCAACAGTTTTACTTCTTATTCCTAGACAGTCAAATATGACTAAAATTCTCCTTTTCATGTTGTTTTTTTACATGATGGCATTTCCCCCACAGGATAATAATAATTATTCACAGAAGTTTTACACAAAAATGCTTTCCCATACCACCATATAGAGAAAAAATAGACTTCATGATTAAAACATTATGAGTTTTTGTTGTCAGTGGCTTGGGCAAAAGCTGTCACTGAAAGAAGCAAAGCTTTGGTGCGCTCAGAAATAAATTGGGTTGATTTGACAGTAATGAGCCTCTGACATTTACATTCTGCAAATCCCTAATAGGATGTTCTCGTTGCTCATAAAGAGCACAGCCAGATGAAGTGTTTATGTTCATGCTTCAGAATTAATGTCACTGTGTAATAAAACATACTTCCACAAATCTACCAGGACCCCATGTGCCACAGGGAGAAAGAAAGAATAAGCAAGGCAAAAGTACTGAACACAATGTTTTTACCTGTGGAAGGAATAAAGGCTGTAATGAGGGACAGAACTGATTTATATTTGTATGCAAAGGAAACCTCCCATCTGCCATTTTTAAGCTAGGACAAATTCTAGCAGCAGCTAAAAAGCATTAGTTCTAATATATATATGTGGTCAACAGTCAACTCACTACAACTTACTAATGATTACTTCCTGAAAGGTGACTTTGTTCATTTAAATACTATCTTTTCCTTTTTGTCTGCTGAAGAAACGGGGGTTTCTGAGTGAATAGGAGAACCAAAAAATCTGTCATGCTATGGATTTCACTCTTTCCTTCGCAAGTACCTGCTCTGTTCACTCCCAGCATCACCAGTTCCCTGCACATGCCCTGCCCAGCACACGCTGCACAGCAGCTCCGTCCCAGCTGCAGCCAGGCACATCAGCCAGGCAGCATGTGGCACCCAGTTCCAGTTATGGCTTTCAACATGACATCCCTTTGCCTTCCCCCTCTACTGTCATGCTGATTTTTATGGAACTTGCAGAAATCTGATCACCCTCAAGACTCTTATCCTCTCTTGAACTCAAAGAAAATTAATTATGGGTTCAAAAGTTATTGAAAGTGAAGGGCAGAACAGATGGACAGACAGATGGAATGACTGCTTATGTTGTTGCCTAAGGAAACAGGCTAACAACGCAGGAGTATCTTGGTAGGTTTGATAATTTCCACCCTACCAGGAAGGCTATTAAAATATTCAGATTAAAAGATCAGAAGGTAAAAAGATAAAACTACTCCCATTAAGTCTTAAGTTTCTAATTCAGGTATATCAACAACCGTCTGTAAAATTGAACAGATGTGTTAGTATTGAAAACCTAAGGGCTCTCCATGGTTGCCTTCACCTTTCACGTAACACAACTGAAAGAACTTAATTTAGTTTATGCACATATTTCATTGTTTCTTAAGCTATCATGTACTCTGTAGAAAGCAGCTTAAACCACAGCTTACAGCTTGCAAGTGACAAAAAAATCTGCTATCTCTAAGGCAAGTCGGTCCATTGGCAAGTTACCCTAAGTAAGAGAGTTGTCTCTAAGTTCTAGTCTACTACTGTTTGCTATAGCTGTAACCATTCAAATTTAGTCATTCCTCTAACATGGGTATTTGTATACTCTAAGTTACCCTTGATCTGCCATGACTACAGAGCTAAACTAAAGAAAACCACTTATTATATACTGCAAGCTTAAAGTATTATTTCATCTCTTTCTGGGCTCCTTTACAAATTATTAGTAGTATTTTGGATATTTGGAATAGCACTATTGGAAGAAACCAGATAGCTGTTTCACTGCTGCTATACAGAAAGAGGAACTCTCACCTCTCCTCTTACATATTATTTCCTACTCACCCATCCTCCAGGCTGTAGCACCACGAGGGAAGAATATGTTCAGACAATTTCCTATTGTAATCCTCATGTGTTTTTCCAAGGCATTGACTAACTAGAAACTATCCCTATCTTGTAAGTATGATCTGAGGTCCTTCTTAATCTAGTCCTTATAATTGCATGAATCAAAACCTGTTAAAAATTCAGCACTTTTCTAATGATGAAGTTACTCAGTTTAGCTGCTATTGCTGACTTCATGCAGTCACAATGTGCCATTTATGTAACACAGTACCTGCAAATGTGAAAATATACTGGTTTTATAAATAATAACTTAGAAAAACCATAACCCAAACAGATTTGAGGGGGTCTGCATTAAAATAGTCCCTTTTGATAACATAGAATAACAGATTTTTAATACAGCTAATATTAGCAAAGTTGATTAGAATGAGGGAGAAAGCTATGTTTTACATACACTTGTCATGACCTTTATTAAACAATTTTTTGCCTGAATAAGAGGCAGGAAAAATGTCCAGTTGATAAGAATTTATCTTATATAAAATCATACCAATTTGCATTAATTACATTATTATTTTTTATATTAGGACCATGCCCTGAGCAATTGTATCCGTATCTGTGTTTCACTTCTATTTGAAATCAGTAGTCTATAGCTCCTTATATAAACCCTTCCAAAATTAGGGCACAATGTTTCATAACCCAGTAATATTGGTGTCTTCACTACTACCACCTCTAAAAACATCCACGTGGCACCTTTCAGTTTGTGCAGTGTTATGTACAAATTACATGAATGTGGCAGATGTCAAAAATACTCAGTGACCTCAGCATAACTTTCATGTTCTGTAGGAAGAGCTATAAAGTTACAGCAAAACAGATTTAAAATAGAAAGACTGATGAGCTTCTGCCTGACCACATATCCAGCTCTGAGCTACTTCATGCAAGCACACTTTCTGCCCATAGTTACTCTCATACAATCTTGTACATTTTTATGGGCTTTCAAACTCAAATTGCAGGTCCTCCTTCACCAAAGTGGTTGTTTACTCTCTCTCTTGTAATATTCACCCAGAAAAGGGTTTTCCACAGTACAAAGATAGTAACATGGAACAGGAAGCAAAGCCAATGTGAAGGTTATCCACTTCCCCATGGTGCAGGACTCTTCCTCCACCTCCAGTCCTATGAGCCTGCTGATCTCCCTTATCCCAGCACTACAGGCTGCCTGTCTGCATGCCAAGCTGATTCAAGAAGTTAAGTTATGAGAGAAATAGATCAGGGGGTGGGAGGTGGGGGTGTGGGTGTAGACAAGCAAATTCTTTGCCTGTTTAGCTCCCTGAATAGGCTCACTGTGAGGTCAGATGAGATCCAGTGCAAAGGAAGTGATGGGAAATACAGGTTTGGAGACAGAATTGGACAAGAAGTCCTTTTTGGCAACAGGTAAACTGATAATCTGAGAAACTGAACTTTTAAATTCTACACTGCGTAGCTTCAACACACCTCCTAAAGGTGTGAAAACACTTCCAAAAGGTGTTTCCTTAAAAGGAAAAGTGCAGCTCAGAATCAGTACAATGCAGGCAGTAGAGAACAGAGAAATCATGGTGCAAAAAATTAAGCAAAAAAAGACATACTGACTATAAAATATAGAGTAACAAAACAGAATTCTACTGAATTCTGTTATCAGAATTCAGCCAAAACACATATTCAGAGTTGTGCCTTTATAATATTGACTTTGCCTCTTCCACAGAAGCTGCAGTGTAGATTTTCTCTGAGTCTGCTATTTCCCCTCTGCTGTGACCAGGACACACTTTGGCAGCAAAATTAAGCACGACTCTAATGCTGAGTTCTCCACTTAAGCAGTCTTTCCACAGACAATACCTGACTAAAATGTAAAGGTGAGTTTGTGGGCCTCTTACCTTGATTCTGTTGTTTTTTGGACTGGACTGGAGAGAGGAGCCATTACACTGAGCTCGTGCTCTTTGGGACTGAGAGGACCCCTTTGGCAGGGGGCAGCCACTTCCATTGGGAATCTTTCCAGATGGTGCTTTGGAATCACAGTCCTAAATTAGGGGAAACAAACTTGTAAATGTTTTTTGTTTTTTTTTTTCAGTGATCAATAAGCATGAATCAGGATCAGAAATCAAACTTGCACCTTTAATCCTTTCATCCTTAAAATGTGACTCAGCAGCTTTGACACCCCAGTTTAATAACAACTGCCAGAAATGAGACAGATTAAGAGAGCATTGTGATATCTGCACTGAAAGAGCTAAGACCTCCCAATCCTCAAGAGAAATAGAAAGAGGAGGAATTGGAGTCACTGCCCCTTGGCATGAGTAAAGTTCCACTAGGAAGATAAAGGACTGAGCCTGTGCCTCCTGTTAGTAGCTGCTGCCCAGAGAAATAGAATTCCATCTCAGCAGGAGATGGGGAAAAGAATCTTGCTCTCCGCAGTGTACCACAGCAACTAAGTCTACAGAATTATTCTATAGATCATCATCTTCCAAACAACAAGATACTTGTTTAGGATTTCAGCCTCTCTCTAAATGAGATGATGAAGTTCCTTTTGGGCATTAAAGTCTCACATTTAGTCAAAGCTGACACTTAATTGCTCTTATGTAGTGCTTGACCGGCAGTTTCATCTCTCATGGCACAGCAAGGACTGAACAGTCTAAAGGAGCTGCAACTAGGAGTTGTTCAGATGTCTGAAGACTAGGTGCTCTCTCCTGTCTTGGAATTACCTTCTGCTACCTCATCTACATCTCCCTTTGCAGATGGGTGACTCCTTTGAATTTAGGATTACCTGGCCAGTTATAAATCCCTTCTACCACACAAAGTCACCCAAACAAACAGGGTGGTCTGGGACATAACTAAGAAGAAGCATCCTCAAGAGGGCTGGCCTTTGTCCTGACTGAGGACCCAGAAAGAGAATGTAACAATGGGTTGGTGGAACATGCATCAGCAAGCTGTCACCCCTCAAAGCTTACTTGAGCAAAAGTCTGATTTGCAGAGTGCTCCAGCTCCCAACCCCCAGAAAACAGGAGCTCTCTTTTACACTTACCACATAAAGAACAAAACCAAACCAGAAGTGAGAAATCTCAGTTAAAACCACAAAACAAAAGCCTGAAGATGAAACCTACTCCTACAGACCAGTGGCAAAAAACTGGCAAAAATCTCCCAAAGGGAAATGACAAGGTACTCACAGCTACAGGATAATTTTCTGTTACTGTCAGATAGGGCCCATGAGGTAGTTAGTACAGAGCTTCAAATGTAAGAGCGCTCCCTCATCTCAGACTGCTAACTTACCACACCAGGATATTCCTCCTCTTTCTCTAGGAAGATCTTCTCTAGCACCAGGAAGGTCAAGAAACCAATGATCACCCAGAGACCCAGAAGCTTCTGTTGCTGAAAGCTCTGCCCTTCTCCTGAAGGACAAAAGAGAAATTAAATACATATTTTTTCACGCAATTCTGAGACAAAAAAATAAACAACAGTGGAAAAACTCCCAGTGAGGTAGGAGGAGTAAACACATCTCAAAACAGATTAGTTTAACTTGCTCATTCTTGAGCTAACAGGTATCATCAACTCGAGACACTCAGAGTGAAAGCTACCATCCCTTTTTCCACATCAGCTCAACCCAGAATATTTCCTGACAATACTGGGAACTTCCCTGAGCTCCAGAGGCAAGTGAATATGTTATCAACAAAAATCCAGGAGCTGTACCTACTGAGCAGCAAGCCCTGACATGAAATCTGCCATTAGTGGAGTTACAAACTCACCTTCCCCTTTCTGCCACACCTCAGTAAGTTATTATGCCCAAAGCTATAAACTTTCTTTTCAATTACAGTCAAGCTTGTGAGATAATAATCCATTCAGCCTCACTGCCAGAAATGGAAATTGCATTGCAATGGAAGAACAGAACAACTCTGTAACAGGACTCACATGGGTCAAGGAAACCTTTACACTTCAGGACAGTCTGGCAGAAGCAAACAAGCTTGAGCAAGAAAACAGAGTAATTTGGGAACCACTGTAGAAAGGGTGAATAAAAGTACTGGAAGTTCTGCTGACAGTGCTAGAGCTGTGATGAAGAAGAGGACTAAAGGCCCGGCAGATCTGAAACCCCAGGACATAGGTGCAAGAAAATCTGGGAAACCCAGGGCATCATCTTCCCTCTCTCACATTTTCAGCAGAAAAATGACTTCTTGGTTTCTCAACAGGTGGGATGCAGCAGCACTTGTCTTCTATGATATCAGTTTGCTGAAGCAGATAGATACAAACATTTTAAGTTTCAGCAATCCTGGCTATTTGAGGGATGAAGGAGCTACACTGATACCAAAAGGTCTATACCAGCTCAGTGCTTAGTTTGCTGGCAAACACAAGTTTCTGACATTTCCTTTTTCTTCCCCTGCCCCACCCTCCAATCTTAATTGTGGCTCTATAGACAATGTTCCATGATTTCTCATGGAGCAAAAACTGCAATACATGAGCTCCCATAAATCAAAGCAAAAAGAGGGGCCCCAGTTAGTGCCAAGAAAGATGTTCTAGGAGTAACACTGTTATAGGGACAGATTTGTAAAAAAGGTGCACCTGATCCCCAAACAAGATAGTGAACATGTTCATGTACCAGACCACATACACAAACCATAACCTCCCATCAGGTTAAAAAAGCATTCCCTTCCCTTACAGAAGGGACAACAGAAAATCAACAGAGATTTACAAGAGTCCAAGGCATGACAGAAAAAGTTGATAAACAAGAAAACCATTCCAAGTTACTAAACATAGAGAAACCATGGCCAACTGAGGAAACCTCTAATTTAAAAGTCTTTGGAGGATTGCTGAGTACAAACATGAAGTATTACATGTGTGGCTTTTTATTCTCACATCCTTCCCTAGGCATTTGCTTTTATATATTACTTAAAATAGGATACCAGCCTAGATCAGTTTTTGGCCTGACCCAGACTGGTTGGTATTAGGCTTTCAAGGTGCAACAGACTCAAAACAGGCACAGTACAAGCTGCTTCCAGGCACATAAGGCTCTCATACCTGTTGTTGCACTGCATGTGTAGGCCCAGGCTTCAGGAAGCAGGTGAAGAAACACATTTCCCAGTAGTCCACCAATTGCAAAACTCAACAACTGCTTCAAACGGTGTGACCCAGCTAAAAAAAAAACAAAAAACCAAACAAAACTGAAGAAACAAGAAGAAAAAAACTGATCACTACTCAGCCAGGAACCAAAAGAGCTCCAGCTGAGATTTTGCACAAAGAAACCCAAACTTGAAGCATCTGCAAAGCAAGCTTTCGAAGGAGAGAGAACAAACCAAATGGAGTGCAAGAAGAAGCCCTTACACCACTTGGTTGGGACAGTAGTATCTGGGAGGGTCCTGAACCATGCAGGGAGAAAACCAGTACCCTTTGTACAAGCTCCATCCAGGGCTTATATTTTTCAAAGGATTCCCTTTCAAATTCACAGGCATGAATTAAAGCACCAAAAACAGACTTTCTATTTTAGAGACATTTCTGTGACAAGGTCCTGTTCACCACTGTACTGCTGTCATATCACAGGACAGGTGGCTTCAGAAAGGCCACTGCAGGTGGCAGATTCACCTTCGGAGCGCAGCGCAGCTCCCGTCTCAAGAGGGATCACCAGCAGGGGGAAGACGCCACTCAGCCCCACCATGAAGGAACCGATGAGGGAACAGATCCAGGCATCCAGCCGCTCGCTGCTGAACAGGTGTCCCCAGGACTCTGCCTCCTTGTCACACAGAGAACCAGAACTAGCAGCAACATGACTCCTCGGGAGCTGCTGAGCTTCACAGGCCACCATCAGCAACAAGGAGAGCGTCCCATCAAGCAGGAGTTTTTGTTTTGTCATCGCTAAGTGGTCTCAGCCGGGCTGGCCAATCTCTGAAAAGATAAGGGGAAAGAAGTCCTGAAAACATGTTCAACCCTCTGTTCCACCATCCCAGAGGAACAACCTTGGCCACACCAAGCCCTCCCTTCAGTGTCTTAGCACAGGTATGAATACCCATGAGGAACACCTGAAACTCTTCTTGCTTTCAACACAGCACTAAAGGACAGAGAGGCTGTTCATCAATGGGTGCATGAAACTGAGACATCTTGGGAAAGCATCGGGCTTTCACTATTTCCCTTCAGATGGGCTGGACAAGGACTCCAAGTACCCTTGTTCTTGCCCTTCAGTGTCCCAAGGCTTCAGCAAAAGGTATTGACCAGAGATGCTACCAGGTAAGCCTCCTCTTTGGCATGGAACAGCACCCCTGTAACAAATTAGGATGCAAGACAGGCAACATAACAGAGGTCTGTAAACTCACGAGTGGTGAAAAGATGGGGAACAGGGTAGACTATTCACCATCTCATCAGACACAAGTGCTGACACCCATCCACGTGAAGCCAGTGAGGGTCAACTTCAAAACAAATATGACCCTTCAGCAGCAGGTAACTTGTGTGACAGTGTTCTCCAAAAATGATTAAAAATTTTACATGCACTTATCTAAAGACAGGATAAGTACTAGAAAGATAAATCTGATTGTTAATGGTTAAACAGCTCACATTAGACTCAGGAAATTCCCTGATATGACAGGAGTGGGAGAATGGAAGTGTACTTGAAAAATATCATATCTACTTGTCCTGTTTTTATCCTTTTGTAGAAGGATACTGGATTAGATGGTCTTTTAGTAAAAACCAGCACAGCTGTTAGCAAGAGCTCTGCAGTCACAAGAAAACTTGAGAAGAGGGCATGTTAGAAGAGAAAAATAAAGATAATTACAGTCATTGACAAAGAGGGAAAGAACGCAAATGATATAAATGCTGAAGTACAAATTCATTCAATCTCCAGAAGAAAAACTGAAATGTGACAAGCAAAAATAATTTGGAAATGGGAGGAAAGGGTGGGTTAGAAAAAGATAGACCTAACAAATGCTCACAAAACAGCTCTTGAGAAGTAATAAGAGCATTCACCCGAAAGCATGTAAGAAATCAGTCTAATCTCTGAAGCATCAGTGACCATCTTTGAAAATTTACAGGAGTATGGGAAGGCTACAAGAAGGCTGGAGAAGGATCATGCCTCACCTACCTTTATAAAAGGAAAGAAAAAGGTGGGAGAAGTTACACACCAGTAACTTCAATCCTCTGAAGGATTCTTGATCAAATTAAAGGATCAGTTGGTAGTTACCTATAGATAAGAAATTGATAAAGATATCAAAGCTTTAAGTAACAGCCAGATAAAAAGGGACCTGCCATTCTCAAGACAAAATTCAGGATGTTGGAGCCAATCTAAGGCTGTGGATGAAAAGGGCAGTGTTGCCCCTTGCCCCCCACTCCTTCACGAAGCATCACCTCTCCATGCTTACACCAGACTCCACCAGTGAGCAGCATCAGAACAAACCAGCAGGAAAAACTGCTTTTTTAAACTCATGGCCCTTTGCCAATTTCAGTCCATGAACAAAAACACTGCAGGGAGGAAGGCCAAGCTGCAATCAAAAGCAATCAAAAAGAAATTAAGGGACAGGGTCCCATGGCTTCTCTGAAAGAGAACACCAATCTCCAGGCACAGTGACCATGGGCATCAGGAGCAGGGATGCAAGAAGGAATCAGTGAGACACTGGCTTGGCAAGTTGAGCAAGGACCACTAATGCTATCACTTTTCTCTTACAACAAAAAAACTAAAATCCCTCAACACAGCAAGTTCAAACCAGCTTAGGATTTTGGGGCATGTTATTGCAGTGTTTTGATCTGGCTGCAGGAACCGCACACCTACCTACAACTATCAAACCAATCTCAGTAAAGATCAGTACAAAGCAGTACACTATGGGCAGGGGAGGCAGGTGTGGAATCAAGTGGAAATAACAGAACAGTAATTCCAACATGTCACAAAGAAAAAGCACACACTGAATGAGAAATTAATTCCAAGCCAGCAGGCTTATGTTGCTTACAAAGAGGGTAAAAGTCATCCCGGGACATAGTAGTAGTCACACTGTGGGTCTCCCACAGGTGAGTCTTTAGCCAACAGACAACATCCAGCCCCACATATTCTTCCTCATAAAACACATGCAAAAATCTGAGACACTGCTGTGGAAAGAAACAAAACTAGAGTATAGAGAGCATGACCCGGGAAAATGACTGAAGGACCTGGGTGTGTTTAGTCTTAAAAAGATAACACCAAAGGAACAGAACAGCCTGCAAACATTAAGAATCACAAGAAACAGAGAAAGTACTCAACAATTCTTCCACATCAGTTCAAATGGTAAACAAGATATAGCCTGAATATGAAGAAACAAATATATATAGTGCCAAAGTGGGGATATACTAAAACAGGTTATCTAGGATGCAGAATCTCCAGCACTATTTTTTGTTGGAGTTTTTCCGGTTTGGCTTTGTTTTTTTTTTTTAGTTTTGAGAAAAAGAAACAACTCATACAGATACCATTTCATTGCAAAGATTAGATCCCTTCTTTGAAGCCCTTCAGGCCTAAACCCCTTCCAACCCTGGAGTGGGCTTGATGGATGTCCTCGTCCTTTATGATAGGATTAAATCTATAAAATGACTGAGAACTTTGTGAGGAACACACCAAAAATAAAACAGAATTTATGCAACTATACATGCCTATGAAGAAGCAGCACACACATACAGCTCAGCATCGATGGGAAGCAGCACAAATCTCTGTAACACTGTCACAGCTTTTGAGAATCAATCTGGAAAAGTAAACACTGCAATTGATTCAACAGGTCGATTTCTTGTGTTTCATTCTCCACACTCAAAACCCACAAAAGCCCCGAGAGACATCTGAAAGGGTCTTAGAGACATCTGAAAGGGTCTTAGAGACTGAGACGCAGTAGCACACAAGACAAAGGTCATGTCCAGGACTCTGAAAAAGGTTTGCATACTTGGCTCATGTCATTCTTCCAGCCACAAAAGAGACCAGGTTCCTCAAAAATGGGATGGTCATGGAAAACAAATGGGTATAAAGTGTAGAAGACTGATTCCTAACTAACTCACATTAGTGGTGGTCAACTTTCTGTGGCCCATAGGTCTTTATTCTGCTGTTACTCACATGAGGAAAAAGCAGCACATTTCTTCACTCCTGCGCAGCCAGACCATCATTACATCATGCCTCAGGAACAACCCCATATCTCATCCAATAAATTCCTCATGTTTATAAAACATCTATGAGAAACTCAGTGTATTGTTCAGGACACACCTGAACTGCTCTTTGTGTCCAGCTAATTGCTTTGAACGTATTCCCAGCAGTTTCTAATTCCCAACACATCATAACCACTTGCTCAAAAAAAAAAAAAACCCAAAAAACCAAAAGCAGCTTTTTTATCTCTACAGTTCCTTTGCTTCTCCATCTCATTAGAATATTAGCAAAGTCTCTAAATTCAAACATTCAAACTGATTACCCCTATGGCAAATATTTAAGAGGAAGAAAATAAGCAGTGAAGATGTAGGGAAAAAAAACCCAAACTGCTCAAGAGGAAAATAATACCCTGCCAAAACAGTTGCAAAGGGTGAAGGAATTCTGTATCTACCCTTAATTTTAGACAACAGCATCTGTTTTAGGAACCCAAGCAGAGAATGTCTTGAGAAATTTCTAGAGAAAGCACTGCAGGCTCTCAGAGACATCTCTGGTCACAAGGCAGAGGCATAAGCAGGTTTAGAGATATGTCTTCTCAAACAGGGTTTATCACATCCTTAAAAGCATGCAACTCTGGGAGAGAAATAGCCAGCCGGTCGTTTAGTTATCAGTTTTGACAATTCTCCATCTGGGATCACAGCTCCCAGCTGTGCTTGATTCACAGCCTGGTGACCATGACCACGGGCAGCACTCTCCAGAGCACCATGTGTCCGTGCACTCAGGACTCAGGTCTGCTCAGCTCCTCCTGCAATGGCCTCAGGACTGGAATAACCATTAGGTTTTGCCAGCCCAGAAAAACCAAATAAATGAGAATTGCCATTTACATGCTCCTTAGCAGGGGCAGAGGAAGCTGCACAGCAAGCCAGGAGATCCATGAGGTTCCCAGGGCCTCCCGTACCTCACAGTGCTCACTGAGTACCTCTGTAGCAGGCAGTGACTGAGGAAACACGGACAAAATTAAAATGCCAAGGCAAAAACCTACTGGAAAAGAGAAAATTAAACATTTTTTACTCTCTTCCTAGACATTCTGCCTTCTCAGATCACACAATTTCTTCTCTCGATGCAATTGCTCATTGTCACATAATAACATTTCAGATGTTGTTGAAAGGAAAAAAACCTAAAAGAAAAGGCTTTTTTTTTTACCAGTGTTTTCCCTGGAAGCCAGTTGCCTGGTCTTACAGTTGCAAAAGAGTACTGCATGGAATGGAAAAAAGTTATTTTCCAGGGAGGAAGCATAATTTTCAGCCAAAAAACCTCTGCATGAGCCACCTCCCTCTATTAGCCCTGTGGAGAGTTTTGAATTCCTCCTGGAAACTCTGACCTCGGCAGAAGCACAAAAGGTCTCCAGTACTCCCTGAGCACTCCCTTCTCTCTGAATCATTGCCCATCTCTAAGGAATGCACTGCTCTGGTGGGACCCTTCCCTTCTGCCCCATCCCTCTCATAAAAACCACTCTGCACAGACTCGCATTTCTGCACATGACAGCGTGCGCAGCTAAAGGCTGGTGATGCACAGGATTGCAAACAATGGGTCGCAGATCAGAACAGATTACAGACCCGGGGCAAACCTCCGAGCTGGCAAGTACGGCACTTGAAACCGACTGACCACTAACTGAGTTTGGGAGACTGCGACTCGTTCCCCATTCTGCATCCTTTCATCCCTAGGCTGAGAGGGAAGTTTGAGGACCAGGCAATGGCCTTCATTCCCCCTGGGCTAGCTGGGACGTCTCTCCTCCCAGCCTATCTCCGCGGCAGCCCGAAGCACAGGCCGGGCAGACCGCCCCGCTCCCGCTGCCCTCGCCCAGCCCGGGCCGGGCCCCGGCCCCGCTCTCACGGCAGGCGATTGACGCGGCGGGGCCGCTCGTGTCACTGTCACATCGCGGCGGACGGGACAGACAGCGCGGGTTTTCCATTAGCGGAACGCTGAGCGAAGCAAAGCAAGACCTGTTCCGCCGCGGGGCGAATTAGCAATGGGCGCTGCTCACGCACCTTTCTGGGGCAGCCCATTACTCGCCGCCGGGGTCCCCGTGCCCCCGTGGGGCAGATCCGCCCCAGCGCTCCGCGCGTCCCGCGGGGCTGCCCCCGCGCCGAGCCCTTCTCGTGGCACCGTCTGCCGGAGGAGGGACCGCCAAAACTTTCTCGGCTGCGTCCCGCGGGGACTGCGCTCGCAGCCCGGGCACGGCCGCCCGCCCGGCGCCGCTCCCCCGGCGAGCTGCGGCAAAGGCGGGCTGCGAGGGGGGACGCGGCCCCGGGAGCCCAGGGGCAGCCCACGGTCCCGCCGGGCCGGGGCACGGCTGCCGGCAGCAGCGGCCCCGCCAGGCGCTCCCCGCCACGTCTTTCCCAAAGTTGTCCCTCGCTCGGCCGGGCCGGACCCCTCCAGAGCCGGAGTCGGCTGCGCTGCGTGTGGCGCTGCCCGCCCCCGCTCACCCCGTCCCGCCGCCCGCGGCTGAGCTGAGCTCCGCCACCGCCCCCGGCCCCGCCGTCCCCCCTCGCACCGCGGCAGCGGCCGCCCCCGGCCCGGCCACCCCCGCCCCCGGGCCGCCGGCCGCAGTTACCGTGCGCCACCGCCGCCGCGCCCCGGGCCGCCGCTGCCATCCAGCCGCGGCTCGGCGCGGGCCTGCCCCGCCCGGCGGCCCCTCGGCTCCGCCTCCCCCGGCCGGCCACGTCGGTCCCGGCCTCCTCGGCCCCAGCGCCGCCGCCCCGCCGGGCTCCCGCCGCCGCCGCGCTGCGCTTCCGGCCCCCGCCGCTGTGTCCGGCCGGGCGGGAGCCGGGCTGCCCGCGGGCACGGCCGCACGGAGAAACAGAGCCCTGGGAAACGGCCCCTCGCCGCTCCTAGGCGGTGCGGTGTGCCTGCACATCCCCTACGCGGGCTGCGGGGACACGCGTGCTGTGTGAGACCCGGACTTCTGGAACATGCTTGCTGAGATTTTTTTTTTTAATTTATTTTTTAATCTCCCTAAATGGATTATAAATTCTTTGGGCTACAGATGTGTAGAGACAAGCACAGTGTGAAACCGGGGTTTGAGCAGAATTTCTGGAAGTTGTTGGAGCAGAAGAAAGTGTGGCTGAGGACTGAGCCTCGAAATGCTTCTGAAAGATACAATGACTTTTAAACAGATTTGCTTCCTCCTCACAGGTTCATTGCAATCTTCACGATAACTTGTGAACCACTAGAGCTCCTTAAGCACTGGTGTCCTGCTAGTGGTGAAGGTTACCCACGGTTCTTGCAAAGATTTGCAGAAACTGCATGTGCTTAGGAAACTAGGTCAGAAGAGAATAAAGATTTATCTTTATACAAGCCAAGCTAGGTTGGACCTGTATTGTTTCCAATACAGACACTTTCCAAAATGTACTGAGGTACCTTTAAGTTCCATCTCTTGCTATTTTCCCTGAGACACAGAACTTGATTCTCGTTCCAGATTTCGGAATGAATCCTATTTCCCAAGAAGGCAGTGCTGATGTTGGTGCTTCTCGCTACGGTTTCACCCGATCTCATTACATCATACCAATGTCATGCCCTGGAGCAGGAGTTAGGAATTACGCCTGAATGGTTTAGCTGCTCTTTCTGTATTTGTGTAACAGCAGCATAGTCCTCCAGGCTACTGCGCTGCAAATGCACTTAAAAGATTTAAGTTGTATGTTTCTTGCTTACAAGCAGAACGTTTATATAGGAAGCTGAATTCTGAAAGCAAATTTTAAGATAAAGTATTTTGCATTTTTCTCTCAAATGGTACGATTTATAGTTTTTGTGTTCCACAGCTGCCTTCTTGCTGATGCTGATCCTCAGCCTTCCTGAGCCTTGCTCCAGTGACACAGTTCCCTGTGCTGATGGATCATAGCTGTGATTATCACAGTTACAGCAGGCAACCCCTCAGGTAAACCAAACTACACCAAGAATTCCAACTATTGCAAGCAGTAGGGGTGCCACAGTCTGAGTGAAATGACTGGGAGTTTACTTTTGACTAGAGTGATGCAGGAAGGCTCTCTGTTTTTATGACATTTTGCTGTAATTCAACACAGGAAGTATTCTGGATTAAATGTTCGCTCTGTACCTCATGTCATCAGGTGTCAGCTGCTGTGCATCAAATTGAGCTTTTACACCATTGGTGGCTGTGCAGTGAAATTTCCAGCAATAGTCCAGAGATCCATACAAAAAAATCAGGGATCTGGGACCTTCACCTGACTCCTCCAAGCCACAGAATCACTTCAGTATAATTTATCTTTTAAGTTTCTGTATTCTCTACTGAATGATTTCCCCAGCTGACAGTAAAAAAAACAGGTCACTTTTAAAGGTAGACTAGCAAAACAGTCACTATATATTCAGTTCTCTTTGACTTGTAACTGATACTCTTGCCTCCCTAATGTCCTTTCCTGAGTGTCTCCAATGCTTACCCATATTTACAACATTTGTAGTCTTCTTGTATCATTCTCGCAGGAGCAGGACAATGATGGAACTGAGGAAGCTTTCCAGAAGAGAGTTAAAAACAAAAAAAGTAAGCCCATTATAGTTCAGTGGCACCATGAAGGCAGAGCCATGGGCTACACCTCATGCACAGGCCCCAAAGGCTGGTGTGCTCTGCATCCACAAAAGGCCAGAGATATGAATGGAGCGTGGTATATACATTGGTTACTGAAAATT